TAGCAGCAACAGTTGCTTCTGTGAAGTACTTGACATCTGGAAGTGCCATTCCAAGTGACCTGTAATCAGTTGATCATAAGACCTTAATTAGGAACCGCAAATGAACAATTCTATGGAGTATGGAGATTATTCTCAATTAACTTAGTTATCCCATTCAAGTACTATATATTAGGAGTAGTCGGACCTTCCCTTACTCTCCTTTCATCTATGAACATATGAAGTTTATTTGTGAAGACAACCAATACATCTGTACGTATATTAGTGTTCTTAGCTGTTGCATACATTTGAACCCCAAAGTTAATTAGAGGATACCAAATACTAACTCAGTTAAACTTTTGTTAATACAAAGCAGAGGCTTTTTACATACCAAGTACCAAGTTAGCTAAGCTCTTCTTAGTTCTTACCATAGAATACTAATCCAGTAAAAGCTTTAAGTCCAACATTTATCTTTGAATATAAAGAGAAGCTACATAAAATGTGATGAAATTATTAGAGGATTATTTTATTGGAAATATATTTCATTGAACATTCATTCAGCAGTTAGCACACCACCAATATTTATGAAGAAAGGAAAGACATAATATTGAAATATATGAAAAAGGAAAAGACACAAGAAAAGTGACTTACAGTCCGCCCAATACAAAGGAGATGCCAGCAGCATATATCCTTCCTCCACTCTCTCCCTTGTACATAACCAAACGACTTCCGTACCAAGCAAGGAAAGCCCATATGGCAAAAGAAAGTCCTGTGCTTCCTATAGCTAGACCTTTTGCTATGCCTTGCTTGATTCCCAGCCTTGTTATTCCATCCAATACAGCTGAATATCTCTCGATAATTCTACATTCAGCAGTGAAGGAATAGACGGTCTTGATGGAGCTTAAAGCCTGCTCTACAATGGTGTTTGCTTTCCCATATTCTTTATAAGCTTTCTTGGATAAATATAGAAGGTACTTCCCATAAATTATACCGGGAATTATGAGGAGAAGCAGTGTTGGGAAGGCTACTAAAGACAATCTCCATGAAAAATAAGTGGAGAATGCAAGTCCTGACATGAATACAGATGAGTTCATCAAAAATAAGGGAACCTGTAAAATTCAAAGAATTATGTTAAGAACAATTGAATTTCTTTTGACTTTGACTAGAAAGAACGATTTTTCTCATTTTTTCTTGGTATTTTTGACTGTGACTAACTCAGACAGAATGATCATCCTCCTTCCAAAATATCTCCTCGTCTGTCCTAAGGTAAAAATCTAATATCTCCATCATAGAAATCTGAACTTTAATTAATCATCCAAACATACTCAAAAGATGATTCCAAAGTAAGATGTCTAAAAAGGAAGAAGAAGAAGAAGATGAAGAAGAATTAAAGAAAGAAAAGAAAATTGAGTGAAGTATATGGTATGTTGAAAAATTCCATGGTAAGATGTCTAAGAAGGAAGAAGAAGAAGAAGAAGAAGAAGAAGAATTAAAG